CATGCAACATCTCAGCTGAGGGAGCACTTGTGGGACAGTGACAGTTCAAAGAGTGGGGAGTGTGACTGCAATTCAATCAAAGTACAAAATGATGTCAGTTTGGCCCTTGACCAAAAACAGATTGGAGGCAGGTATGTCATTAATTACACTCTGTTCACTTCCTTCTGTCCGTGCACTTTTTGTTCTTCGGTAATATGGACAGAGATTTTCCATTTGCAACTGCCAAAATAATTTAAACCAGCACTGTACAGTGTAAGTGTCTGTGTAAGGCTCTCTTGTTGTGGATACAGTGCGACGCCTGTTGAGAACTGCGAGCAGTAGGGTGGGGTTCCTGTTGTGAAGGCGTAGCCCACACCACTCTATTGGCTGTGCTTTCGCAGATCTACAGGGGAACTCCATTCCTCGTTAAACGACAAACCACCACCTGTTCTCATTTCATCTCTCCCGTCCTCGCTGTGCCTCTTGGACCACTGGTGAAGGGCAGACACCCAGGTACTCCGTGAGGAATGGAGGCAAGTTTCCCATTCAAAACATTCCCCATCCATTTCCTGATGGCCGCCACCTGTTCGCCCCCTCCCCCCCACCTCTTCTATTTCCACCACCACGGCCACATCTACACACCTCGCTCTGGCGCGAGGGATGGGCAGATTGTTGGGGTATGAGAGTGGATTGTTACTGTCACAGGGGGCAAGGGAGATCAGGAGGTGGGTACTCGATGGCCCCCAAGTTCCAGATGTCACTGTTTTTAATGACATAATTATGACCGTCTTACGACTCCCCTTGGCCTTCAGTCTGTACTGAAAGCTGTGCACGCTGCACGCTGCACAAGCACACACACACACACACACAAACGCACATAATTCCTGCATATTATTATTCAAAGCCTGTGTGCCTATGCCATTTCTAATTATAAAAACATCTTTCTGTAAGGTAGTTTACAGGTAGCTAATTTAGGTAGGTCCTGATAGAACAAAGAAAAGCACAATAGTTGAAAAAAAAATCATATATTAATCATGTAAAATGTCAAGCATGAATGATCCCCTTAAAAGGGATTATTTTCTTGACACATTATCAATCAAATATCAAACTTGCCATCTTCTTCTTTGCTGACACCCTGGAGCTGAGGCCATCTGGATCAGTCATTTTCTGGTCATTAACCATGCTCGGCTCTTAAGAATCTTGAAGTACTTGCTCTTTCCTGAAAGAGCGACTGAGGCTGGCAACTCTGCATTCACAGTTTGAGCCACTTTGTTTGCTAAATTCTATCTTTGCTTGGTGCGGCACAGATATTTTTGGAAGAGGAGCGTGATGAAAGGCGTTTTGATCTGGAGGCATACAGCACAACTGTGTGAGACACACAAAGTGGTAGCTACCAAGCTGAACTTCAACAAACATACACTCCACGGATACATAGGAAACTGTGAAGAATGATCACAATGAATACCACGATGAACTGTTGTTTCAGTGGGGACTTGATAATGATGAAGGCAGTCCCTCCTCTAACAGGGCTAATTGGGGTTCAGAGACATCTAATGCATGATAGATGGAAATGGAGAAGGTCTCAGTGGTGTACAGCACTGCTGGCACGAGATCACAAGCATTAATAGAGCTGAACCTTTCACTCTGGGCTGAAAGACATCTGTTGCCAGCAGGTAACCTCGGCTTTATCATTACCAGCTAGACCCACCGATGTTTTCCTGGCATGACAATTTAAAGCGATATATATGTTTGCTGGCTAATTCAAGCTGTCAACATCATCCCTGTTTGTAGGTGAAAAATGGGTGCACCATGCAGAGCACCAGATGGCAGGAATGGATCATCAATCTGAAACAGCAGACATGTGATGGATGGATTCTCCAGAGTAAACAGTTTCCAACTAAGAACCACACTGAGAAGAAATTTGCTCACAAATGAGCACTTTTGTGTCGACATTATGCATTGAAAGAAACGCAAACGGCGTCTAAGGCTATTCATGTTTGTGACTTAACATTTACGGGCACAATGCATGATCCATATGGAAATACAAAGCAGTCCCACTACCAACATTTTTAAAAAGGCAGGACTAGAATCTGCTATCATCTTTAGTGTTTAATATAAGGACTAATACTAGTAAACAAGCAGGTCCAACGTCTCCGTCTGTAATCGTTATTTTTATCATAGTAACGTTGCAGTTGCCGGTTGCAGGTGTAAATAAACAGTTCGCCATTATGGAAAACAGTCTCAGTGGCTGTCTTGCTGAGAGTAAGATGAGAAGATCGATAACCCTTTCAGGTTTGTACAGAAAATATGAAGCTTAGCTTAGCACAGTGAGCTTGAAACAGCTAGCCTGGCTCTGTCCGGAGGAAACAAAATTCCCATACCAGCTAACTAATTAACACTAATATATCTTGCTTGATTTAATTTGGACAAAAAATATATGTAAATTAGACACATTGTGGTTTTACAGTGAGTTATGAGCCAAACAATTTCTTAGCTGGGTGCAATAACCCCCTTTCACAAAGCTGACGGAGCCAGGCCTAGCTGATTCCCTGTTTGCAGCCATTGTGCTAAACTAAGCTAACTGGCTGCTGGCAGTAGCTTCATTATTGACAGACTGGCAATTGTATGATATCAATCTTCAACTCTTCGCAAGAAAGTCTGTTTCCCAAACTGTTGAACTGTTCCTTTAAATTAAAAGTAGTAGTCTAATAAGTCCCTATATTACCACATTTCATAATGGAATTGCATTCAAAACAAATCATGGGGAAAAATACTTCTGTATGTAGTTATTAATGTACATGGTTATTATCTGTATAAGTGCTATGGTCCAAAAACTTCCCCAAGGGACATATTCTAGTATACCAGGCCAAACCGCGCATGTAACATTTAATGCGACTGAATTGTTAATAAGACTTGGCGGAGACAAAATATGCTGAAATATCTGTTGACTTTGTCAAGATTCTTTTTTTTCACATTTTAATGTTTGCTGAAACAGCAACAGATTTGACGTTTTGTCAACTGACAGCTTCCCTTCAAAGACAAGAGAAGCACTCTGGGTAGGTAGGCAACATCCTGGGTATGAGGTGGCAAAGTGCGCAGGCTGAATATCACAATGTTTGCAGACAAATCCAAACCCGCTGAGATGGCGTGTCACATCATGACAGGTTGCACTCTCCAAGCAAAGTAAAACCTTTCCCGCTAAATTCTGAATATAAAAAGCTGCAAATTAAAAAAAAAAAGTAACAGTGGAAAGCAGAGATGAGTCCTTTTATGATGGAGGCATCTCCATATGACATGTGACCACCAGTGTGTGCCATGAATAAATCATTCTGAACCGGGCAGAGAGAGTAAACAGTTGTGTATCTTCACCTCAGATGCCTAGAGAGGCCTGTCAGACACAGCAGTTAACAAAGCCTACCTCCTCATCATCATGCGGACGGTGTTTCAGCACATCCAAGTCCAAACCTGACACCATTACCCCACCGCCCCACCTTCTCCTCCCCACTACACAACGCAAGAACTCACTCAGTGTTTCTCCAGAGTCAACTTAAAGTGAAGTTAAAGCGAGGATGGTAGCAGTGCTGCTAATCTTTCCCCAGAGTCTCTGCTTCACTTGGTGGTATTTAAAGACCGCCTGGATTGTCTTTGTAAATTAGGCAACCGGAGCTCTGGGATTAGCTGCCAATTTGTACCCACTGTGGAAAGAAACTCCTTGAGACCTCCATGATTTTATCTATTAACACAACTTCAAGCACAATCAGGCTCTTATCGGGTGCATCTCTGGCTCCAAGCTATGGTACGACTCGCGCTCTAATGCGGCCGATGGCTCGTTTCAGCATCATTTCAAACGAGAATGTAACGAGAGATGATGAAGATGTTTTAGAATATAGTTTTTTTTATTTATAATTTATAATTGGCAGATACAAAAAACTCTTGAAATGTATCCAAAGTGTGCAATAAAATCACTGTTGATTTTTTCCAAAAGAAAAATACAAAAAGACCATCTACTTTGGAAAGTTGACAGTTGACAACCAATGTAAACTGGAGTGAACTGGTAATTCTACAGAGGGTTTTACTAATCGCTACTAATGCTCTTTTAACTGACTACAGTTGTTAACAAATTGCAAATCTGCTTTGCTCTCCCAAGATGATAACCAAAGTCATTATGTGTACAAACATCTACATTGGTGACATTCTATTTCCCCATTGTTAAATACAAGAAAGGCAATCATATCCATAAGCAGCACAAATGTGTATAACACATTAAAATGAAATAGAGTTTTCAAAATTGTACCAAGATGTTCATGTGAGAGAGGCTAAACAAAAAAATGGGGGGGAAGGGAGGAGGGGGAGGCATTTCCAAACATAATGTTGTAAACAATCACCTTCACTCACCGAGATGTACAAAAAAAAAAAAAAAACACGTTGGAGCTTGTTAAGTGCTAAACAGCTGTTATAAATTCAAAATGCTTCAGCAGTCTGAACAAGCATCAACCTCTGGAATCAAACATTGAAGGCAATAATGCTTAATAATAAACTAAATACGTATTTAGAAAACTCACAGCAGCAACACAATATGAAACTGGTTTCTGCTCGTCAAAGTTTGATGACAAAATCGCAAATTAAAATGGAAATACAATTAAAAGGAACAATGTATTAAAAAAAAAAAAAAAGACTAGCATTTTACTTTCACATTTCAACTGTAACACATACACACACACACACACCCAAAAAGTAAAATCTAATTTACATCCACATTCTTGCCATGATCCCATTCCTTGACAGCCCGTGAGCATTAGCAGAGGCTTTGATATGATGCTGGTGCCTTACCCTTTATATCCCACGAATATGACATGATAAACAAAACAATCTCAATTTAATCTAAACAGTTATATGAACACAGAAGGACAAACGTGTGACTACATTTCTTTTTAAAAACCGCCATCTGAAGGACAACTCTAGGCAGGAGAGGATCCAAGCACGTCAATGGAGAATATTCAAGTGCAAAAATGTGTCAATGTAGTTTTTATGATTCTCATGCTTTCTGAGACTGGTCTGCAGGCAGATAAAATGGAAACCTCAAACAAGCGTACATTCCTTTTGTACAGCCCCATTCCCCAGATGGCAAATGTCACAAAAAAAACTCACATAAGGATTCTAAAAAGAAAAATACATTTCTTGTACACAGAATGTCCAGCCAATGTTTGTGACAGAAAAAACAAACAAACATCCCTCTACACAGCCAAACACACAACCTAGATCCTTCATTCCTATACAACTCAAAGCTTTAAAATGTCTTTAAACATGCAACACCATCCAAAGTTCCTATCTAATTTCTGCTGTGCTAGACTCATGGTAACTTCCTCAGACACCAACACTTCCAGCTAACTAAAACTAGAACTATGCCCTAACGACCTACCAAAGTTGTCCGTGAGACCATTTTTCAAATACTTTTAAGGACACTGATGTCAAAAAAGATGCTCATTCATAATGTGAAAACACAATTCCCTGTCAAAGTATCCATATAAAGCACTTGCGTAGCATACTGTGTGCTCTTCCCTTTACTCTGGCACGAACAGCCAAGTAGAGACAATCTGTGGGGTAGTGCAGCTCTGTGGGGACAATGTGAATAAGCAATGGCAAAAAATGTATCCTTCTTTTCTTTTTTTTCTGTTTTAAAACGTCCTTGAAACCCATATGACATTAATGATGCAGCCATGCAGCTGTGATGGAACTTTTGTCATATGCTGAAACCCTGGCATCACTCCAAGATGGCGAGGAGGACTTAACCCTGGCTTTACCAAGTCCTTTTTACCTAAGCTCACACCATTTCTGGGATTCCTTTGATCTGGATCCAGCTCCTTGCTGGCGTTAAGAGACTAAGAAACGGCCATCTCTACATACAGATTCACATCAATTGACTAGAGGTCTGTTTTTCAGTTGTAGGTTAATCGAGGGCAATTTTCTTTACTTCTGAACTGCCTACGGTAAATGCAATGGTGCATTAAACAGCCTTTTACTCAGAGTTGCCGTTAAACCACACAGCTGAAAACTTCCACCCTTTTACCGTGACATCTTCTCTCATTTAGAGTAACTCTACAGTGCCATTAATTGACAGTCTTAAAGCCTTTACTACATGCAGAAACAAGCATTACAGATAGTGACAAAGTTGTTAGGCCTGAGCTGCGGTGCAGTTTTTGTAACATTCCTAATGCAGAAAGATTTTACTTAACATATTTCTAAAAAGGTTAATACATCAACTTGATGCTGTTTCTACAAAAACAGCACATTAAGATCCAGCATCGTCAGTACCTTCAGGCTTGCACATTATATAATGGCTACATGCAGCCATACAATTTAAGGCTACTTTTCTGACCAAACTGTTTAAACCCTCTCACAGACTGGAATATTTTGGGCATCTTTTGCAACAAAATGTTCATGTTGTACACCTGGAAATTCCTTCTCACAAACTCATAAATAAAGCCTGCACCAGTCTAAGCATACTGAAACACAAATGTGTCTGTAGTATGTCAGCTAGTACCATGTCATAATAGAGTCAAATACTTGAGAAAGAAACACCATCCACTGAATAAAGTAGTCAGGTTTGTAAATTAGCAATGCCCATCATCCCTTGACATACGATAAAGCCTTGCTATTGGACTAATTGCATAGTGTAAATGCAGAATGATGTTCTCATTTGCAGTCTGATCATGCCGAAAAAGGATAACATTGCACAGTCTTACAAGTAATAAAATGCAAAAGATGATCAAAATTGGTCAGTCAGCAGAAAGCTTAAAATTTGATTTAAAAACTTCATTATAACAGTACTTTTCCGTCCTTTCAAATGTACAATTTAGTGGATAACAATTCAAAGAACTTTCAAATTCAGAGTGGAATTCTATTTTTCTTAAACCCAGATGGCAAATTCATGAAAATCTGCTTTACTTGCCCAGCCGGATGTAACACTTAACCATACATCGCAATGCATGTCAAACATCTGCACTCAATGTATGCACCTAAGATAACTAGGCTGTATACCCCTATTCTTTTTTTTTTTTAAATTTATTTATTTATTTTTTGCAGTAGATTATGTGCTGGCCTGTGTTTCTGGAAGTGGAGCCTCCTAAAACCAGCGAAAAAAAACCCCAGAACAGTGGAATGGAGGACTTAACAGTGACAGAGTCACCTGGACACAAATCAAGAGCCACCAAAACCAATCATCTCAAAACCGTGGTTGTCTGTAAACCTTGTTTAAATCTCTTAACTGAACACAAAAGTGCAAATTGCTACCACTGTCCTGTCTCTGTGTCCTCAGTAGTGCTTCTCCTGCAGATAATCTTTCATCTTGTTAGGTAAGGGCAGTTTCTGGATCAGGTCTATCCTTGTATATTGTCTAATGACAAAGCGACAAAGGTACTGCAGGGAGCGCACTTGCATAAACCGAGATACTGGGTTGGTTAGTCTGACAGGGTAGGTTGCAGACCCTGGTAAGCGAGACCTGGAATAGCAAAAAGCTCCATTCTCTGAGTCTTTGATAGAGTGTTCGATTAAGTCGACGATGGACGTGTGTCCCTCCACATCAGGCTGCTCATAGAAGCTGAAGCGTCCATTGGAGTGTTCGATGCGGGTGTGGAGGGTTTTACCCTGTGACCTGAAACTCAGGCTGAGCAGGTACCTGTCGTCCGAACTGTCTCTGACCAGGAATGAGCCGTCGGCCAAGTTGACCAGTTTCTCCTCCGCCTCCCAGCGTGTGATGGGACCCCAGTACCAGCCCTGCCTCGCCAGCTTCTTCAGCTCCTCTGTCAGACTGGTGACGACCATGGGCCCGCTGCTCTGGACCGAGTCGTAAACCCGACTGACCCCAGGAGCTGAGTTTGGGTCAAAGTTGAGGTGGTGTCTTACCCTCTCAGCTACCTGGCTGTCTGAAGAGCTGAACCCTGAAAATGTCCTGGAAATATGACCATTACTTGTTATGGGTGGCAGGAGTGGAGAGAGGGGAGGCGGGACCTCTACTCTAGAGCTTTGGAGCATCACACCAGCAGAACCGATGAGAAGACTATTAACTGAGGTTTCCATGAAGAGATCCGGAGGCATCCCACTAACCAGTTCATGTTCCTCCTGTCCCTGTTCTGTGTGGAGGGACCCATTGTCCGCTTCAGTCCCCACCTCCATAGGACAGGAGCTGTCCAGGCAGAAGGAGTGGGACCCTTCCGGGTACATTCCCTCATCTAAAGGCATTGTGTACTGGATGTAGTCCTGGGGAGTTAACCCCAGCACCACAGGCACGTCATTTTCATCAATATTTAGATGCAGCTCACCGTTTTGCGGCTGCTGGAGATTCTTTAAGGATTCTGCTTGGTCCTGAAAGAGCCCTTCCATCTGGAAATCATGAAATTCTTTCCGGACACCATTTAAGTTGGGGCTTGGGCTGGGAGAGTGAACCATGGCTTTAACTTTTACCTCCATCTTGATGCAGGCATCATCAGAGTTGACTGACCGCAGAGGCCACGGTGAGGGGCTGTAGTGGTGACTCCGTAGGGACGCGGATCTAAGGGGTCTCTGGGCTTTCACCTCGTTGAAGCTGATGGGCACAGACGAGGAGGAGAAGGTGTCATCGTCATCCACTGAGCCTATAGCAGAGGAGCTGCCTTTCACTTTCGCCTTCTGCTTGGCAGACAGCCTCCTCTTTAGGGATCCCATCAGGCTCTCACTCTTTGAGCGGCCCTTATTCTGGCCCCCTTTGTCCTCTTCACCACCAAGGTCACAGCCAGAAAGCTCTTTGGTGTAGCAGCCCCCAAAAAGTGACTCTTCCTTAGAAAACTCTGTAGTCACCGAGGGCTGCTGGAGCATGACAAAGTCACCCTCCTCTTTGCCCTTTATGCTGAGGGACTTGCGGATGGTCTTAAGGCTTATCTTCTTCATTCTGACAGGCCCGCCAAATTGGGGGCATGGGATGGCTCTCCTTGTATCCCGATGAAAGTACTATCCACAGTGTCCTCCCATCAGGCCACACGAAACAAGTCATGCATACAGTGGACCCATCAAACCCTGCAGAAAGAAAAACACACACGATTATAGATATTCTGTTCAGTCCTAAAAATACTTATCAGCAGATCAGCACATTACAGCCAATTAGTGCCGTGACTTGTTTTTTTAGTGTTAACTCGGTTAAGGTTGCAACTACCGATTAGTATAGCAGTGGATTAATGACTAAAATTCATTTTTAATTTTTCAATTAACCATTTGATTGAGTGACAAATAAAATCACCAAATGTCTTGTTTTCTCTGACCAAGAGTCAAAAGCCCTTTTAGAAATGTTCAGTTCATCATCACACATGACAACGAAAAGCAAATCCTGGTGCTGTTTGCTATTTTTCCTTGATAAAATTATGAAAAAGATTTTAAATAAAACAATGCCGATGAGATTAAAGTGCTGACTTTCAGGTTTAATCTAATGGGTTCACGGCTCTACTGTTTACTTATTATTAACAGCCCTACATTTAAAAAGGGGCCATTTTTAATCAGACAAATTACACAAATATATACAAATTCATTGTGCTTAATATCTGATTGCAAATTCATTGACAGCTTAAAGTCTATGATCCATATACATGAACAGATGCTTGGTATTTTCCCTAGTCATGCTCTGTTGGTCCTGTGCTGCTGCTGCTGCTGCTACTGTTTTCCCTTTAAACTCTTCGCTTGTTTTGGCAGTGTGTTTAGGATCACTTCCCTGCTGCAGTTTACTATGAACAGTTCCTATACTGCTCC